TCATCATCATCATCATCATCATCATCATCATAATCACAATCACCTTCATCACCATCATCGTCGCCGACATCATCACAATCACCAGCATAACTACTGCCACCATCATCGTAATCATCGTCATCGTCATCACCACCACCACCACCATCATCATCATCACCATCATCCTCATCATCATCATCGTCATCATCATCATCAGCAGCATCCTTATCCTCATCATTATCAGCATCACAACCATCATCAAAATTCTCAGCAGCGTCAGCATTAACATGATCATCATCATCAGCAGCATCATCAGTATCGTCATCATCATCGTAGACATCGTCATTGTTATCGTCATCAACAGCACCATGACCATCCTCACAATAAAATGAAATATACAAATATCAAACAAACCTCATCATCACCATCAGCATCGACATCATCATCACCATCAGCATCATCATTGTCATCGTCAGCATCATCATTATCATCGACATTATCATCATCCACATCATCAGCAGCATCGCCATCATCGTCATCATCAACAGCATCATCAGCATAATCAGTATCATCGTCATCGTCATCGTCATCATCATCGTCATCATCGTCATCACCATCATCACCACCACCATCACCACCACCACCATCAGCATCATCATCATCACCACCACCATCACCACCACCACCATCATCATCAGCATCGGCATCAGCATCGACATCACAACCATCACCATCACCATCACCAGCATCATTACAATCATCATCAGCATCATCAGCATCATCGTATCATCTGATCATCTGATCATCGTATCACTATCATCATCATCATCATCATCATCCTCAACATCATCATTAGCAGCATCAGCATCATCATCAGCAGCATCATAATCACCATCAGCATCATCATAATCATCATCATCGTAATCATGATCATCATCATCATCATCATCACCATCACCATCACCATCCTCATCCTCATCCTCATCCTCATCTTCATCATCATCATCATCATCATCATCATCATCATCATCCTCATCATCATCTCTATTCATCCTCCTCGTTCTCTTCAGCCGTCTCCTCCTCGCTCCCTTTCGCCTCGCCCTACTCCCTTGCAGCTGCTGCGACTGCTGCTGCTCCTCCTCCTCCTCGTCATCATCATCCTCATCCTTCATCCCTCTTGCTTGTGAACATCTCCTTCTCGTCGAGACACCAAGCGAGTCGATCGGGTGAATGCAGCATGAAATTTTAAGAACTACATGGACAGAGGACGGGCCATGTTCAAAATCCATCTTTCCCGCCGTCGCTCCGCGCACATTCGTCTCAAAGTACGGCTGCGCCAATTTTTTGTAGCGTTGCGTGCGGGCGCAGTTGCACACCCGTGTTGGGGATATCTTGCATGACGCCCCCCCCCCCCCGACTCCAAATCCGCCCTACTTTCAGTAAGTTGGGCGGAAGTATCCGTCCTACTTTGCAGGCTCCTGCGATGCCGACTTCTGCTCTACATTGCCGTCGCTGTTTCCGCCATGCCTGTGCAGAACTAGCCGCACCACTGCTCTGAGGCGCTTCAATCATTCCGCCCTACTTGTTCGCATCGTTTGGGGTGCACTTCCCACACACACCTTCGATGAGGAGGACAATTATCGTGTGGAGGAAAACGGTCGGGAGGATGAAGGGCCTGAGCAATGTCACCCGGATGCAAGGAACGACACCTTCGGCCGCCTACGAGCATTGGCACCCTCGTTTCTTCCAACTCCATCCTCCCAACCCGACAACTGCCTTCCTGATTCGAGCCAGAGGCTCCGCCAAAGCACACGGCGTAGAGCAGAGGCGTCGCAATCCAGCGCGCCGAGATCAGCCCAGTAATATTCGGGCGTCGTCGCCATTTCCACTGGCGTAGGTTTTGGGGGGTGGCGACGTGAATCAAACGAGCCCATGAGTTCTACGCGGAGCACTGATGCCGACACGCAAGAGTAAACGCGACGCCCAATGTGAGCGCTGTGAGCGCCTCTTCAAGGAAAAAAGGGCTTCAAACGAGCATCAGCGCCATGTGAGATGCTCGCCCACGTCGACGGCCGCGCCGCGCAAGTTGGAGCGCGCCAGGGACAAAACAGCGCTGCAGGGCCTCGCTCCTCGGCGGCTGGGCCCGCCCAGCCTCTGCCCCCCCCCCCCCGCCCGCCCGCCCGCCCCCGGCTCCTCCCCTTGCTGCGTAGAAGAAGAAGAAGAAGAAGAAGAAGAAGAAGAAGAAGAAGAAACGGAGGAAGAAGAAGAACAAACGCCATAAGCACAAGCTTTTGGCACTCCGCGCGGATTTCTCGGATCCGCGCTGGACTCCATTCCCTGGCGCGCGGAGCGCGCCAGGGGCGGCGCCGGAGGCGCCGCCAGGGGGCCCCAGCGCGGATCCGAGAAATCCGCGCGGAGCGCCAAAAGTTTATGTTTGTAGCGTTTTTTCTTCTTCGATTGCGGCTGCCTCCCCCCCCTCCTCCGGGCTTTGGATGCCGAAGGCGCCCCGGGTGATCTCCGGGGCCGCCCCGAAGGCCTCCCCCCGAAGCCTCCGGAGGCCATCAGAGGGGATAACAACAAAAACGCTTCGACATCTCCAGCTGCTCCCCCCCAGGGCCAGGGCCTCCTCTCGGGCCCCAGGGCTCCTCTCAGGCCCTCCTCTCTCAGCCTCTCTCCCCACTCCTCCCTCGCCCCGTCTCCCTCCTCCCTCCTTCCTCCCCACTGGCGCCCTCAAGCCCCAAGCAGCTTCCGCTGGGAACCCTTACGTAAAGGCATTGCGATCGAGTCCGATGTGTTTCACGGCTGACTTTGAACAAGGTGTGTATCAACACCTTGACCCGAGTGAGATAGGGAAATGCAACTACACGGATCATTGAATTACGGATGTCCATGCTTGCCTCGCGTCTCCTCAGTGCCGGTACGAAGGGTAGGTGCTCTCACCCCAAATACTCCCACTTTGTCCTCTATGGTAAGACCTCCAAGGGTGAGTTCAACAACAATCGGACAAAAAACTACTCGCCCAACATGTGTAGACAAATCGCCATAGTTAGATCACAGACCATACAATGACAAAATGATGATATGAAGGACTGTGCTGTGATGGCTGAGGATGGAGATCCAGACCCTGTGCAGGGGTTGTGGGAATTCTATATCCGAGAAGTGTGTGATGCCTTCGCAGGAGGCACCTGATTTTGCGACTGTGAAGAACCAGGTGCTCGTGTGGACCCCGAGCAACACAGATTTCGGACCCCAGATTCCGACCTGGCCCAGTGTGTTTGTGAACCGACTCCAGCTGGCGAACCGACTCCAGACCCTGAGGGCTCCCTCCCCCTCGTTTCACTGGACGTGGGTGAGAATTTCTTGGGCTCCGCCCCTCCTCCTCCCTCGCCTGCGCCTCCGCCTCCGCCTCCTCCCCCTCCTCCCTCTCCTCCTCCTCCTCCTCCTCCTCCTCCTCCTCCGCCTCCTCCGCTTCCTCCTCCTCCTCCCCTTCCTCCTTCTCCTCTCCTTCCTCTTTCTCCTCCTCCTCCTCCTCCTCCTTCTCCTCCTCCTCGCCTCCGAGCAGCTCAGCCTCACAGCTGCCAGCAGGGCGGAGGCCGGACGCCGCCGGGAGGCCCCTTGCGTCTTTTCGACCTGCAGAGGCGCGCGCCCAGGCGAGGCGCCCTCCGCTTCGGGGGCGTCCTCGAGGCGGGCCCCCGGGGCACCAAATCTCACATCGTCAGAGCACAGTGTCCGCGGTCATGCCACCGTCCCACCACGCCTCCCTCGTTCCTCCTCCTTCTCCTCCTCTTCCCCCTCCTCCTCCTCCTCCTCCTCCTCCTCCTCCTCCTCCTCCTCCTCCTCCTCCTCCTTCTGCTCCGCCTCGTGCCTCCTCCGCTTCCTCTTCCCCTCCTCCTCCTCCTCCTCCTCCTCCTCCTCCTCCTCCTCCTCCTCCTCCTCCTCCTCCTCCTCCTCCTCCCCCGACGACGACGACGACGACGACGACGACGACGACGACGACGACGACGACGACGACGACGACGACGACGACGGCGAGCCGCTGGAGCGAGCCTGCCACTGGGAGCGGTCAGGGCGCCCAGTCATGCGGAGGAGCACGTGGGGGATCTCGGGGGCGCGGGCGGGTGGCAGGGTGCGAGCGGGGAGGGGGGGGGACCTGCAACTCCTGCCAAGGGACATCCTCTTACCCGGAAGCGCCTACGCAGCCCCCCCTCTTTTTCGACGCTCCTAGACATTGGAGCGGCGGGTTTGGGGCTGTTTTCGGACTCCAGGGGCCCTCGCCGGGCCTCGGGACCGTCAAAAAATGGCTCGCGACGATAAGCCGGCCACAAAAAAGTGGTCCAGACATCCGGGACCGAGGCATCGACAACATTGGAGCGGCCTAATGTCTGGGTCCACCCCGCCGACTTCTCCTCCGCTCGTCCCCCCTTCTCCCCTCCCCTCTGGGGGTGCTGCGCTGGCCTTTCGGGGCTCGCCCTTCCCCCCCTCCCCCCGCCTTCCTCCGTCGTGCTCGCTGCTCCTTCTGGCCCCATCCTCCACTCCTCCTCCCTTCTTGTCCTCCCGTTGCTCCCCCTCGTGTCGTCCCCGATCCTGGTCGGTCGCCCTCGCCTCCTGCGGCAGCCCCCACCCCTTCTGGCCAGAGGAGCCCCTTTTCAAAACCGGCCCTTCTCCTGAGAGGGACGGGACAGGCATCGGATCATCCATCGACCGCATCTGCCTGCAGCTTTCGAGCTTCGAGGAGGACGAGGACGACGAGGAGGAAGGGAGAGCAGCAGCACGCGGGCAGGCAGCAGGGGGTGTGCGCGAGAGAGATATCCAGGTGACACGTGCTCGGAGAGAGAGAGAGAGAGATAGAGAGAGAGAGAGAGAGAGAGAGCGGGCACGTCCAAGAACGAGAGGGCTAGAGCGCTAGGGCGGGGAGGGGGGAAGGACATGATTTTTCCCCCCTCAGCAAAGCAAGGCATGAGGGAGAGTCTGCTGCCCCTCAAGGGGGCTATCCCGCACCAAGGACAAGGAAGACGCCGCACCAGGCGAATGCAGAAATATCGCCGAGACCGTGCAGCAGCCCTGCTCAGTAGGCTGTCTGGCGAGCATGGCCGAAACATAGCCGATCGAAGTCGACCGCGGGGCGAAAATACCAACAACCTGCAATGACCCTGGACTTGGGAAGAGGGAGAAAGGAGGAGGAGGAGGAGGAGGAGGAGGAGGAGGAGGACGACGACGACGACGGGAAGAGGAGGAAGAGGAAAGAGCAAGGGCTGCGTCGCTGGCAAAACACCTGGACCGTCCCATGCGCCGACTGCTTAAAAACCAGCCCCTGCCAGACGAAAATCAAGCACTGGCCATAGAAGGGGGCGCAGAAGGAGGGAGGAGGAGCAGAGAGAGGCGCACGACCCCGATTAGTGCAGCCAGTGGAACAGTGCAGTGCCGACCTAAGGTAAGAAACAAAAGGAGAGAGCGATAGAGAGAAGAGCGATACATATATAGAGAGAGGGAGAGAGAAGGGGGAAGAACAGCAAAACATAACAAAACTGGCCGCGTCCTGCTCACAGCACGAGGCTCCACAAGTCGGACAACCAACTACAGTACAGGGCGTAATAACGCAAGGCGTACAACTCCGCACCTGCCCCAGTCACTGAGGTCCTCGATGTGGTCATGTAGCGCAGGGCTCCTCGGCCCCGCAGACGTGCACGCCCATAGCAGAACCTAGCACGTGCGGGCTGACACGCGGAAGCCAGACGAAACGAAAACTCTGAACACTCGGGCATGCACCGGGGGGCGACAGAGAGAAACAGAGAGAGAGAGAGGGAGAGAGGAGGGCAGAGGAAAGAGACAAGAGGGGAAGGTCCACTATACCAACGAATCTGCTGGCAGGCAGGCACCAGCAGTGGCGTCGGAGACCTAAGCCAGGCAGGCTGCTGACGCCGCTGCTGGTAGGCAGGCTCCAGCAGCGGGCAGCGGCTCCAGCAGCGGCGTCGGACCCTCACATCACGAAGCCGATGCACGAGTCGGAGCTCGGGGCAGGAGCCGGGGTCGGAGTCGATGAACGAGTCGGAGCCAAACTAGGCGTCGGGAAGGGAGTTGGAGCTTGGATCCAGTGGTCGTGGCTGCGGTCGGAGTCGGCGTCCGAACCGGCGGCGGAAAGGGCGTCGGAGCCAGAGGAGGGGCCAGCCGGCGTCGGAGCTGCCAAGCAAAAAAGTGGAAGCTATCGTCGACTCTGGTGTGGATGCTGGCGTCGAAGCTGATGTCGGCGCCTGCGGGGGCGCTGGCGTCGGAGCAGGCAGCGATGTTGGCGCCGAAGCCGGCGTTGATGGTGGTGTCGATGCTGATGTCGATGTTGGTGTCGGGGCGGGTGTTTGTGCGCGGGCGTCATGGTCGTGCCGCTCAGCGCCAACGCGCCGCTTGTCCTGGAGAGCTCGTCGACCTCGCGGTAGCCGTCGTAACCTTGCAGCTGGTGGCCGTTGCGGTCGTGCCGCTCCGCGCATCCCTTGCCGTAGCCGCATGTGCTTTCCGCAGCCGTTGCTGGTTGCGGTCCTCGCGGGCACGCAGCAGGGGGTGCGCGCGAAAGATCTCCTGGTGCCCCGCTCTCGGAGAGAGCGGGCAAGTCCCAGAACGAGAGGGCTAGAGCGCTAGAGCGGGGAGGGGGGAATGACATGACGGGAAAGGCGAGGGGAGGAGCAGGAGGATGAGGAGGAGGAGGGGAGGAGAACGAGGACGAGGAGGAGGAGGAGGAGGAGGAAGAGGAGGATGGGGGGAATGGCGAGGACCTTCCCACCACGGCTGCGGAAAGCACACGCAGGAAGTCGCGGGAGGACGGGGGACAGAACGGGGGGGGGGACGGGGTCCCGACCCTCCTGGGGTCGAGGCTGCACCTCCAGCGCTGGAGGCCAAAAAATCTCCAGAGCGGAGGCTGGACCTTCTCGTTCCACGGCTTGGGCCCCCAAGGGGGGGGGGAGGGCGCGGGCAAAGGTGAGGTGGCCCTCTCTCCTCGTTGTCCTCGTCCTCCGCCTCCTCTGCTTCTGCGAACGCGCCTCCTCTCTCCGCAGCGCCCCGTGCTCTGCCAAATGTTCGCCCCCCGCCCCCCCTGTTGTTTGACTTGCCGTGGGGAAAACGCGGGAGCGCGAGGTGCTTTCTCATGCGTCTCTCTCTCTCTCTCTCTCTCTCTTGTCCTGATCGCCACGTCCCGCCTCTGCTTTCCAGTCGGAATCCCCACCGACCGCGACAGGAGGGAGGGTAGTCCCCCAACCCCTGATCGCACACGCGGTGCCTCCCGCCACATGAGGTTGGCACGGAGGTCGCTTGCATCCCTCGCGCCAGGCGGACTTCGGCCCGCTGAACTGTTGCGGTGTGTATATCTCTCTCTCTCTCTCTTTCTCTCTCTCTCTCTTTCTCTCTCTCGTCTCTCTCTTGTCTCTCTCTCTCTCTCTCTCTTTCTCTCTGTACCTCTTTTTTCTTCTCTCTCTCTCTCTCTATCTTTTCTCCCTCCCTCCCTCCCGCCCTCCCTGCCTCCTTCCCTCCCCCTCCCTCTTTCCTCCCTCCATCTCTGCCTCCCTCTCCTTCTCCCTCTCTCTCTGTATGTTATGTATGATAGATATACATCGGTGATCTTATATGTTTATGGTATGGGTGCATGGCTTCGTGTATGCATGTATAGTTATATGCATGCGTGTGCGTACGTATGTTTGTATGTATGTGTATGTGTGTATGGATGTATGCGTGTAGGTATCCATGCAGACATGTATCTATGAATGCGTTCGTGTCTGGATGCATGTCTACATGTATGGATGTATGGGTGTATATACGTACACATGTACATGAATATGGTTGTCTGTATGTATGCGTGCATGTGTGTATACGTGTACGTACGAGTGTGCGTACGAATGTATGTACGTATGGATGTACGTAGGTATGTATGAGTATGTGTTTGCATGTTTGTATGAATGAAATTGTGTACGTACGCATGTGTGTAAACATGCATGCATGTATGTATACATACATGCATGTGCGCATGCGTGTATACATTCATGTGTGTATGCATGTGTGTATGAGTGGAAGTGTGTATAGCGACATGCATGTATGCATGTAGGTACTTATATATGAATGTGTGCGTATGTATGTACGTATGTATGTATGTATGTATGTATGTGTGTGTACAAATGAATGGTTGCGTGTATATGTGTATATGTATACCTGCATGTATGTGCGTGTGCATGTATGTATGTATGCAGATGTGTCTGTATACGTAGTTATGTATGCTTGTGTGCATGTGTGTATGTGTGCATGCATGCATGTGTGTACGTATGCATACATGCATGCATGCACGTACGTATGTGTGTATGTATGCACACATGCATACATGTATGTATGCATGTAGGTGTGTATGTCTGCATGTGTCTATGTGTATGTATGCATGTATGTATGTTTGTGTATGCATGTAAGCATGCATACATGCATGCATGTGTGTATGTCTGTATGTGTGTATGCATGTATGTGTGCATGCATGTGTGCCTGCCTGTACGTATGTATGTATGTGTGTAAGCATGCCTATATGCAAGTATGTGTATATGTCTGTATATGTGTATGCATGCATGTATGCATGTGTGGATGGATAGGTGTACGTGTAGGTGTAGGTGTAGGTGTAGGTGTATAACTACACTCTCTCTCTATCCCTATTTCTCTCTCTCTCTCTCTTCCGTCTCTTTCAGAGCTAGCGGGGGGGCTGCTCCAAAGCGTCGGCTCCATCGAAGAGTGGGCGCCCCCCCCCCCTTTCTTCCCCTCTCCTCCTTCCCCTGCCCCCGAGCTGCGGCCAGCCGTGGCGACGAAAGGGGCCCTTTCTCCCCCCTCCTGCTGGCCAGAAGCAATGCTAGGCCACCTCAGCCCACCAGCCGGCTCCAAATGGCTGGTTCCGGCAGCCCTGAATCCAAAGTTCTCATCTCTTGGAGGGCAACTTTTCACTTCCGCCATCCTCCGCCCGCAGAGGCAGACTCGTTTTATCCCCGCCGCTTTCCGCCAACCTTCCGCCGCATTCCGCCGAGGAAAGGATACTGACTCCGTCGGTCCTCGAAGGCGAGGCCCTTTCTGGAACGCCTCAACTGGCGGCGCGCACAAGGGGGCAGGGGGAGGGGGGAAGGCTTCTCAGAAGGAGGCTGCCTCTTAGAAGGCGCCGGCCCTACGTCTACACACAAGGCCCGCGCCTTCTGAGAAGCGTGCTTCTAGTCTTTCACCCGCCCTCCCCCCGTTGTGCGCGTGGCCAACTCAAGCCGTGCCCCAGCGGGCGGTGGATATGGATATATATTTTGGCCCCCGGGGGCCCGAATATGTCCATATCCACCGCCGGCCGAGGTCCCCGAAAATTGACCCTCCAGGCGGTAGCCATGTATAAGTTCCTGCCTCGGATTCTAAGAAGCCTTCCACCCTCCCCCTACCCCCCTGGTGCGCGTGGCCAACTCAAGCCGAAACCTCCACGCCCTCGAGGCCCCGGGGCCTCTGGAGGCCCGGCCGCTGCCGGTCTCGAGGTCTGCATAAGATTTGGAATTGGTCGCACTCTGTAGCCATGTGCCGTGTGCACATCCACCCAGAGTCTTCTGTAAGATTCCTGTGATGTCGTCACTCCACCGTTTTCGCTGTCCACCGTGTCGGCGCTATGTTGCGCTGAGAAGCCAGAATGCTTCCAAGACGCCTTCCGCTCTCCCTCTGCCCCCCTTGCGAGAGTGGCCAACTCGAGTCGCAACCTCCGCCCCCTCGAGGCCCAGGGGCCGCCTGTTCGGGGGCGGCCAAGAGGGGGGCGTCCAAGAGGGGGGGGCGCAAACCATGGCTGGCGGCACGTGCGCGGCCCAGGGGGGGGGGCCAGGGACGTAGTAAAAGAAGAAGGGGCGCCATGACATCTGGGGAAACATCATGGCCCACGCCACGATATCCCCCCCCCCCCCTGGCCATCACCCCCCTCTTTGCCGCCCCCGAGCCCCCCCCACCGCGGCCCGGGCCTCCGAGCCGGCAGGCGGCCCCGCGGCGCTGGCGGCCGCGCCGCCTGGGAGAGTGGCGCCGCCCTCGTCGAGCTGCGCGCGCATCCGGGGGTGGGCTGGGCCCCCCTTTGTGAGCGTTTGCTTTACTCGGCGTGTCGACATTGGGCGGAAGCGGGGGGTGGGGAGGGGAGGGGGTCTGGCACCAGACCTCTGCTCTGTGCGACTGTTTGCAAGAGTAGTGCCTCTGGGCGAGACTCCACCTGCGTGAAACGGGCGCCAAAAAACAGCCAAGATCTGCTCCATGGGGGGGGAGGAGGGGGTGCGAGGGCCCGCGCCGATCGGCAACACAACGAATATAAAAACGATCACCGGGGGTGGGCTGGACCCCCTTCAGCAAAACTTTGTCTTGTCGGCGGCCACTTCAGAAACATCTACCCTCATAGTAAGCACCCCAAGAAGCGAAGCCATGCAGCAAACGCACCCAAGGAAGGAATCGAACAGGGAAGGGCCGTTTGGTAAGCGCCCAGGGGCGTAACGCCAGTTATCTGGGTCGGAGACAGGATGCCTTCTCATTGGAGGTGAGCGAGGCGGGATGTGAGAAGGAGAAGGCATTCTCAAAAGGCGGCGTGGCTTTTCAGAAGGCCCCTGGCCGTCTGAAAAGTTTTCTGCGTCGTCGGGGAAGGCTAACGAAAACGTTAGAAACTTCTCAGAAGGCCGCTGGACTCCCGAGCCTTCTGAGAAGGCCCGCCCCCGTCACACTTCCACCCCCCGGGCTCGCCGCCGACTTCCGCAAACCAATTCGTCTTGTCGGCGGCCACGTGGGTCCCAGCAGCGGCAGGGCAGCGGTGGGGCGCAGCGGAGCCCACGACGTCGCCGACAGGAGAGGGGAGGAACGCGGGTGCGCGAGAAAGGCAGGGAGAAGGGGGGGAGAGAGAGAGGCAGCGCGCAGCGGGAGGGCCCTCAGAGCGAGAAGTTTTTTTTTTGGAGGGGGGATGCGCCAGCGGGCGGGTCGTGTTCGTGCAGTAGGAGCTCGACCACGAGACACCTGCCACAAGAAAGCCAACCCTGAGGCCGCAGGACGTCCATCCAAGGTGTGGGAACGTCACGCTTTCCATAGCAAGACCGTTGAAACCCAAGACACCCAGGGCACCCTGGAGGTAAGCAGGGTGTTTCTTGGCATGGGCTTCCACTGTACGCAAGAGTGGCCCTAGGCAAGAGTGACCTTTAGTGCGCGGCCAATGGGGGGCTCTTTGGGGACACCGCAGCGGCGCGCACCGTCGCTGCTGTCGCATCGCTTTCAGCGATCGGGGGGCCCCGGTGGGCCCGCACCAAAAAAAGGTCCCTCCGGCGAAAGGTTGCAACTACGCGTCGTCGACATCAGGCCCCGAGCGCAGAAAGAGCCGCGGGCGCACCGCGTCCCTCTCTGACCAGCGCGCAGCGCCACGGAACGCAGATGTCCACCACAAGAGGCTCGAGGGGAGTGCATCGGATACCGTCGGACCTACGACAGAGAAGCACCCCTCAAGAACATGAGACCCTCCGCCGGCCAAACTGGCGAACATTCGAGGGTGCCCCATCCCAGGATGCACAAGCGCATCCAACAAAAAGAACATGAGGGTACCCGCCTCCCCGAGCCGACCTCGATTTTATACCTCGGTCCGGCTGTAAGGTTCCCTTGGATAAGAAATTCAGGGTCTGAAAAGCCGGTGGGACTCCAATCGTGGATTTGCCATGGATGCTGTCAGGACTTGCTGCACAGCGTGTCGCCGCGGCGGCCCTGGCGACACACAATGCCCTGCAAGCAGATAGCGTGTCGCTACGCTCCGCTCCGCGGGGGTGGGAGGCTGGAACCCGCTCGGGACGTTGACGCCTGGGGACTCTGGGAAGCGGATAGCGTGTCGCTCCAAAGCATGGCGGGCCAGAACCGGCGGAGCGAAACGCTACCCCAAAGCTTCCGACCGTACCACTGCCGCCTTCATCAGAGAAGGAATCGCCTAGGACCTAAGGCCTCCTGGGCACACTCCTCAACGAACGCCCCCGCCCAGCACCAGGCAGGAAGCGGATTGTGGACAGCAGGGAGGAGGAGGAGGAGGAGGAGGAGGAGGAGGAGGAGGAGGAGGAGGAGGAGGAGGAGGAGGAGGAGGAGGAGCGAACGTCGCCTGAGGGGGCGAGTCCGTCGGAAGGCCGAACTACGGCGCGCCAGCTCCGCCCGAAAGGTCGGCGGGCAGCTTCAGAGCGTGGCGGGCGGCAGCAACGGCGGTCGCTTGCTTCTGGCACGTCATCGGCAGGACATCGTCCTTGGTGAGGTGGTAGACACGCGTCGCGACGCTGAGCCTCGCGACCCTGTTGGGGATGCCGTTCTCGCCGTCGAAGGGGTCGGTGAGCTTGGGCAGTCCAAGCCTCGTCAATAAATGAGCGCTCAGTTGGCCTCGCGGTTTGGTCAGCTGGTGCCACATGCGGCCGCAGATGACGTAGTGCTGGATGGCGTCTTGGCCGTCGGGGAGGGGGCACCAGAAGTGGCAGGAACGCTTGATTGGGATCACGTGCATCCTGTGCGAGGTTGTCCATGCTCCCGCAAGCACCTTCAGCGCGCCCCACAACCTGGCAGGCGGAAGGGTCGCCAAGTGGGAGCGTAGGCGCATCCATCGGGCAGGTAGATCATCAGGAACTTTTTCAGCTTGTAGAAGGTCTGGTTGATCGCCGGGGCCTTCAGGTAGGACTTCGTCTTCAATGTCATCATCGTCGCGGTGGAGGTTCTCGGGGTTGGCGTCGGGCTCGATGAGGGGAAGGATGTGGCTGATCCAGCGGCGACGGGCACGATGTTGGGCGGCTTCAAATGTGAGTAATGATGAGCGAGGGGACCGACTGCGAGGAGAATCGCGGGGTTGGTCATTGTGTGCAAGACGGCGTTCGAGTAGAAGTCGTCCCATGCCGCTGTTGTCCCACGACTGTATGCACATGTTGACTGCGATGCGGTGGCGCTGGATGTTCGTGGCGTACAGCGGCAGGAACAGGTCGGTGCCGAGGAGCTCGTACAAATAGGTGGTGCACCACTGCATCCAGTCGTCACGGTTGTCGATGCTGGGGTCGTTTAGCAGGATGTTGGGGAGCCAGTGGGCGGCCCAAGCACGGGCGCGGTTCATCAGTCGGTCTTGCGCTCGTTCGGCTTCACGTCGGGGTCCGTCTGGTGGTTCGCGCGTGTGCTGTCGGTTTGAGTCAAGGTGTGGAAACCAGGCGATCAGTCGGCGCTTGATCGTGTTGGGCATGGTGTCTACGTACAGCTGTTCGTTGAGGGACTTCAGGTAGGCTGACTGCGGGGTGATCTTGGCGGGCTGGCGGTGTCGGCGCAGAGCGGGATGAGGGGCAGGCTGAGGGACTTGGCGTTGGAGAAGGGCTTGTAGTCCTGCTCTGGCAGCACGCTTGTGGCAGGCGATCATGGCGGCACGTGCACGCGGTCGAGGTCCAGCTGTGCGTGTGAGGCGCTTGAGGTGAGAACCTTTGACGAGGAGGAGGAGGAGGAGGAGGAGGAGGAGGAGGAGGAGGAGGAGGAGGAGGAGGGAGGAGGAGGAGGAGGAGGAGGAGGAGGAGGAGAAGGAGGAGGAGGAGGAGGAGGAGGAGGAGGGAGGCGGAGAGCAGAGCGGCAGCCGGAGCGGCCCCCCTTTGGAGGGTCCGGGCACCGCAGGGCAGGCGCACCTCTCGCACGATGCCCTCCGTGCGTCCCGAGGTCCGCGCGGCGCGCTGCGAGAGGCGCTGCCGCGCCACCCCCTGGAGCACGACGCTTCCCCCACCTGAACCGCGCGGCGGCACGGTTAGCTTTGCGCCCCAGGGGGGGCGGCCGTACATGGACGATACCTTCGAGCCCAACGGCGCAAGCTACCACCCCAGGCCCCCCAGATCAACATGGAGGGTGCAGTGTAATGGAGGGGGCGTGGGTGGACAGGAATGCTCGAAGCCCAAAGCCGTAACCAATGCTAAGCTCTGCATTGGTTTCGGGGGCGGGGGGGTGCTGAACATCCCTCTCAAGCGTGCGGGGGTTCGAATGTGTTTTCCATGTGCTGGCCCTCTTTGGCCTCGGCGGGCGGGGGGGAGCCTCGGCCCGCGGTGTCTGCAGGCGCGCGCCAGCCGCGGAGGTGTGTACATGGCCACCGCGACGGCCGTGCGGAGATGGAGGACACAGAGGGGGGACGCAGTTGCACCCCTCCCTCCTCCTGCTCCTCCTGCTCCTCCTGCTCCTCCTGCTCCTCCTGTTCCTCCTGCTCCTCCTGCTCCTCCTGCTCCTGCTGCTGTTCCTCCACCTCCTCCTGCTCCTCCTCCCCCTCCTCCTCCTCCTCCTCCTCCTCCTCCTCCTCCTCCTCCTCCTCCTCCATTCCTTCTCCTTACAGATAACTCCTCCCTGTCGCATCCCGAGGCCCGTTTTTAGGGCGGGCCGTGCGTTTCGCCTGAGACCTCCTCACCACTCATGACTCTGAAGCTTAAAAAGTGACAACAGTTTCACAGATGGAGGGCGGGTCGTTTTCAAAATGTGGCTCTCGCCTTAGCGCCGCGCACATTCGATTTAAACAGTTGCAAGAGCTTCACGGATTGAGGGCGGGTTGTTTTCAAAATGTGGCTCTCGCCTTAGCGCCGCGCACATTCGATTGAAACATTTGCAAGAGTTTCGCTGATTGAGGGCGGGTGGTTTTGAACATGTGGCTCTCGCCGTAGCGCCGCGCACATTCCTTAAACAAAAGCTGCAAGAACTTCGCTGATTGAGGGCGGGTGGTTTTGAAAATGTGGCTCTCGCCGTAGCGCCGCGCACGTTCGTTCCAAACATTTGCAAGACTTTCACGGATTGAGGGCGGTTCCTTTTCAAAGTGTGGCTCTCGCCGTAGCGCCGCGCACATTCGTTTTTAACATTTCGCCAGAGTTTCACGGATTCCCATGATCAACGTACCAGAAATGGTGTTTTGGAAGGAATCAGGATTACGCGGGCGCAACAGTGATATTGATTCGCTGTGTTGAAGTCCCCCAAACGGCGTTCTGGCACGATTCTAGATCGTCAAGACGCAGCAGTCAGGTTGATACG